AGTTATATAACTTTTGTTCCTAACAAGTTTGAACCTTCTCCCACCTTTTTTTTCAAGAGTTAGAGAAAAGAATCCTTAACAAAATTTTTTCGTAATCTCATCAAGATTTCAATAATCATATTTTTAGGATACCTTTAGTGGGTGTTTTTTGAAGATAATCACAGTATTATGTTTTCGAGTGTTCGTTGCGCCCCCAAGGTTGTGCCACCTTACAAACTTGAAAACTATTTCCAGCAATTTTTCATGGCCTATTTTATAAAAAAAAAATACTTGGAAGCTCTAGGACTAATAGTTCCTGAGATATAGCCGCATCCTTTCTTATTTGGACACCCGGTACTGTGACGTCACACGATTCACACGTCGTTGAACGGTTGATCCGTCAGCTGTCGTTTTGAGCGGCTCAGCGGCTCGATTACTATTGGTAGCCGTTACGGCGCTAAATTCAATTTAAAGCTTGTTTTTCTCTGACTACTTCTATAGACACTTTACTGGAAAATATTTCAGTATCCATGTATGCCATCAACATTTCGCCCATAGAATAATGTGGAGCAGGTTCTTTACTGATTTTCATACATATAGTAGGTATACTACCCCATTGCATTATCTAAGCTAGAAGTGTGAAACACATCTGGACTTGGAGTCTACAATATTCATGTGGAATTCTCATAACTCTTTACAATCAACATATTTTTTGATTAACACAACTGAATATGATAATATAGTACAGAAGTAATACCTGAACCTAAACACAATTCTGCTGCTTCTAGTGTCTGAGTTGACTTTCCTGAAAGAAAATTTAAACTAGTTTCATAGAGTTCGATGGCGCCCTCTCCAAATTGATTCAATAATGCGGAGCACCCCAAGTTAAAAACCGTTGAGTGCGGCTAGGCCTATCATAAGCGTTTTTTTTTTTCTCAAAATCGTTACGTTTCTGTAAAAACCTTATTTTTACGATTTTAGTTGCGCGTTGCGCTCTCGATCAAACGTCCAAATAATCACAAATAATATACTCCCAAAGGACATCACACACATCTTATGGGTTTCCGGGGACCGGTCGATTTATTTTAAAAGTTTGGTATGTTGTAGTAAAAATAAGCATTTTTCATCCTTACACCAAATCTCTAACTATACAGGTGACCCAGTAAAGTGGGTCCGAAAATCATGAAACCACCCTTTATTTATTGATGTTGGCGCGCACTTCAAGATACATATCCAGATTTTAGTTTTCGATTTCGCAAATAAATTGTCTAGAAAAGCCTAATATACTATACAGGGTGGCTAAGCTTGCGTATTCTTTTAAAAATCCGGCCCTATTTCCTATTTCTTAAAAATAGTATTACCAAAAAGGTCGCACTGGATTCTATCTCCGTAACTTTTTTAATTTTTGTCCAATTTAAAAAAATGTGGTCTTAAAATAAAGCATATATCACAAGGATGTCATGAAATCTAAAAAATTACAAATGTGATAAAATTCGAGATGGCGGAAAGTGATAAAAGTATAATTTTTTATTCGATCGTGGATTCTTACGTATATTAAACCCAGTTTGAAATTGAAAACAAGAGCCAAAAAAGTAATGTTGAGAGTAATTACTTAATCACAATTCATCAGTTGTCACAATTCCTAAAAACCGGTGTGATATGAGATACTCACACATAATTAGCTTGTGATATAATAACAAGACTCTTTTTTTTTACGTTGTGATATACAGGGTGTTACATTAAAAATAGTGAAGAATTTCGATGTTGAGAAACGTTTTTTTTTACTAGCTCTGAAGAAGTATAAAAAAATATTGGCAACCAACTAAAAAGAAAACTTCAGGCCAAGAGAAGTCGGATGGCGCAAACCGCAGGTAGCTAGCACACCTGGTTTAAAAGTTATCAGTAATAATGGGTCACTCTCGGCTGGGACACCCTGTATAATAATGAATAAGTTGGTGCTAGAACTTTGGGAATGTGCTCCCATATTTCTAGAGCTGTTTGGTATTTGGGCTACGCTAGATATGAAAACAATGTGAAATATCCATCAGATACGTTCCGTAGGTTTATTGTATTCAAGACAGTGTAAATGGGCAGTAGGTAATCCGATTTTTGAAGTGAAAATATTGTAGTGTATTTAGGTTGTATTTTACCATTTTCCCACTATAACCTGTAGCACTACCTATTAAAAAAGTTACGAGCAAATAAAATCCACTGCGACCTTTTTGGTAACACTGTTTCTAAGAATAGGGCAGGATTTCTAAAAGAACACGCAAGCTTAGCCACCCTGTATAGTATATTAGGCTTATCTAGACTATTTATTTGCGAAATCGAAAACAAAAATCCCGATAAGTAGCTTGCAGGGTGCGCTAACATCGATTATTGAAAGGCTTATTATATGATTTTTGGACCCACTTTACTGGGTCACCCTGTATACTTAGAGATTAGGTGCAATGATGAAAAATGCTTATTTTTGATAGTACTACAACATACCAAATTTTTAAAAGAATCGACCGGTCCCCGAAAACCCATAAGATGTGTGCGATGTCCTTTCTCGCAGGTTCTATCAGACATTTTATTTCATTTCTGCTTTCCTGAATCTTTTATATCAATTTAATTTGAATAGACCCAAGAAAGCTGATATTATTCTTCGATTCGAAAGTATACTTCAAATCCGGCGGAACTACCTTCTTAGTAATTTCCTTCAGAAAACTCAATTTTATCAATCACAAAATTATTTCGGAGCGTTGGAGGGCAATTAGGCGACAAGTATCCTCGACGACACTTTCCTGAAACTTGGAACTGCCGTTTTTGTGAAAAGGGGTGATAATTTTTGCACAAAAAGAGCGAAGGGTGATTTTTTGCGGCTGGTTTTGTTAAACCCTTATCAAGGCTGATGAAATTGTTGACATACAGGGTTATTGCTTATTAGATACATTCCTTTGGAGATGTGATAGGGGATGAGGTAAGGAGTAAATTTAGCCGTAACATGCTTTATGCAAAACTCAATAGTTTTTGAGATATTTCAATGTTTTTCTTAAAAACATGACCCAAGTGTCTTGAAAATCAATTAGCAAAAAATCTACCGTACATTTTTTCAAAATTTCTACTGGATTACTTACCCAACACTATGGTCTTGTTTATGATAAAAAATATCCGGAAACATTTCCGTCATAGTCAAAATTTTAAATAAAATATCTTGAAAAATAATTTTTCAAAATATGGTATAATTTCTTATCGGTTGGAGAGATTTTGTTTAAAATTTTCCCATGAGGGAATGTTTTCGAATATTTTTTTTAACAAATATAAGACCATAGTGTTGGGCCAGTAATCTAGTAGAAAAGTTGAAGAAATGTACGGTAGATTTTTTGCTAATTAATTTTCAAGGCACTTAGGTCATGTTTTCAAGAAAAACAGAAACATTGAAATATCTCAGAAACTATTGGGTTTTGCATAAGGCATGCTACGGTTAAATTTCCTCCTTACCTCATCCCCTATCACATCTCCAAAAGAATGTATCGAATTACCAATAACCCTGAAACATTCTACTGTTCATAGCACCGGTCGTCAAGCCGGTTAGTCGGCTACCGGAACAAAAGTTAGGTAGGTACCTAGAGATATGAGATCGTCGAATGGACTTTAAATAGATGAGACAAAATAGGTGATGAAGATCTTCAACTTATCTAAGCTTCAACCAAACGTTCTTTTTTTGGCCTAATATTATAATAGTTGGCATAACTTTTATGTTTTTTACAGTTTATTTATTTTAAAGAACTTTAATAACAAACTTCTATAAACTATCCCAAATAGCATTTGGACGTCGGCCCCACGTCGCCCCACACAACCTGACGTTGGTTATTGACGCCGGATTAACAATTTGCCGACCCTCTTTTGCACTAATTTGAAACATTCAAATTTGAGTCGTGCCGACGTTGGTAACCAACTTTCGAAGTGCTGCATCATTCACGAAATGCAACGTTAATTTACGTAAACGAAAAAATCTGAAATTTTGGTTCAATTTTAGTGATTTTATTTCCACTCCGGGAGCACCAATTATCTACTTCCCAACTCTGATGCGACTTCTTTCGGAATCATGTGAGATAAACGACAATAGAGAACTGGGTATGGGTATAGTATAAAACAATAATGGCGTACAAATTTTTGTAGTGAAGGTAATTAATTAGAACTTGCTGGGCCCTTGTTGAAACCAAATATTGCTAACGCTCGACACTTTACTGATACACATGACCATGGTAGGTCGAAAAGTATGCATGCCTCACGTGTATTGTTTAAATTTATCAAATTTAATTAAAAAAAGAATGATAATAAAAAAGAAAAAAAGTATATAATCTAAGAAATTTGATTTAAAATCGTACTTAAAACGTTAGAGGAACAAAATTTTCTTAAAAATTTCCTGTTTACTGTCAATTTCATATTACGTTGGAAAATAAAAATGAAATTTTCGTAATGGCTGACAAGATGCTTCATCGACGTAGCCTTAAAATATGGCGGAGTTGGTAGTTGAACTTATATTTACTTGATTTAACCAAAGAAAAAGAAATCACCACCTAAAATTACGAAGCACAACCTTAAAGTCGGAGATACCACCAATTTGGACCATACTGAGACGTTGGGATCCGACCTCAGTTTTGGTTCCTTTAAAATTAGGGGAGCGGGTGGGAATGGCGCTCACCTAAGCCAAAACTTTTTTTTTGTGACTTATTTTCATCAGAGGACTTTGGAAATTTATTTGAGTAAATAACATTTATTGTTTTATCTTTTGGTCCAAAAATCTTGTCTGAAATTAATTTAATTTGCTAGTTAGAATCAAAAAATGTAATAGGTGCTTTGAGCGCAATTGCCCACACCAGTGGGGTAATAGCGATCAATAATTTTCAGGTAGGTTCTTAATACAAATTAAAGCTACAGCTACTAATATTGAGATATTTATTTAAAAAATCGACAAAACAGCCAATAAACTCAAAATAAACATAAAATAAACATAAAATAAACTCAAAATAAACTCAAAATAAATTCACAGCTTCTATGGCGGCCATCATTTCTGCTGGAGACCATTGTGCTTTAGTTGTTGTTTTTTTTCTATATCGAACCATCTGAAACCAAAATAGTTATGAATTATTAATTATAATTATTCAGGTTAACAGCCAGATATCCATAGGGGCAATGGCGCTCGGTAACGGGGTAATCACGCTCAACCTGAGCGGAATTGCCCCAAACTTCAATTTTTAACAAAAATGGCGACATACTTTTTTTAGGTTAAAATAAATCAACGATGTTTATACTAAACTACTCCCAAAACATGCCTCATTGATTTAATAAATGATAGAATACCCCAAAATAACGTTATTTCAACTTACCTCTAGATTTCCGAAACACAAATATTAGATTGAAATCGTCAAACTACACGTTTTTTAACAGGACCGCCGCTTAACGCCAGATATCGAAACAGGAATGGCGGCGATTTGTTCGGAGGGCTAAAAAGAGGGGATGACGTCAAGCGGAATAGTAAATTCGACTGGGTTAAGGTAGAAATGAGGTGAGCGTCATTCCCCACTGAGCGCCATTCCCACCCGCTCCCCTAGCATTTTTCCGACTTACGACTAGATTTTCACTAGTTCCGACGTTGTAATTGGTAGAAATTTAGCTCACTCATTAACTTTTCAGTCGAAGTAAATACCCGACCTCCAGCCGACGGTAAATTAACCTCAGACATTTATGATAGCTGTAGTCAACGTAGATCAGACGTTTCCGAGTGTATAGTTTTTTATGGTAAAGCTGGCGACGTTGAGCAAACGTTAACTTTTGACGGGCGTTTTTTTAGCAATGCATTCAACCAATATCGACCACGGTTAGACGTCTTTATTCGTATACTTTAAATCTAGCTAAAAAAATATAACCAAAGTTGTTAGCTAAATTGTTGTTGGGTATAACGTTGGCATTAATGTAATTGGTATACAATTAAGTTTACGAAAAGAGTCGGAGGTTAGACAACATAATATCTCAACCTTATCGTCGTTTACAAAAGACAAAAACACAAACTCGATCAATAATTGAAGAGTATAATTTCTAAATTCGTGCCAAAATTTTGATTTGGAGAAAAACGAGAAAAATACTACAAACATGCTTACCTATATAAAGCTTTTACTTACATTCTGCACCATCTTTAAATCAATATCAGAAGTAATCAGAACCAAATACATGTATTGTTGCCACATAGAACCTTTTTGATTGTATTGGGTTGAGACTTGGAACCATTTCCAAACATTATCTCAAAGATTATGAAGATGGCACTTAGACCCTTTAGAAGTTATATTCTTCAATTATTAATCTCCAATTTGGTTGTTATAGTAATAGGTAATATATTTTTTTGTTTTGAAATTCCAGCCAAACAAGCCTATAGGCACACCGCTTATTTTTATAGAAAAAAAGCAAAACTTTTGATTGGGAAACTTGCTCACAATCAAAGATAATCCTACTCGGAGTAGGACTACCTTTGCCACAATGCATAATGATCCATCCAAAAATTAAACATACAGCACAGCACCAAAAATAAAATAGAATAAAATAATTTCATCTGTTTCCAACAGTAAATTCAAATCAAAATAAATAAAAACATTAGGTTTTGTTGTCGTCGTCTTTAGTAATTTTCAAGGAACCAAAACTGAGGTCGGATCCTAACGTCTCAGCATGGTCCAAATTGGTGGTATCTCCGACTTCAAGGTTGTGCTTCGTAATAATTTTAGGTGGTGATTTCTTTTCCTTTGGTTAAATTGAGAAAATATTAGTGCAACTACTTACCAACTCCGCCATATTTTAAGGCTACGTCGATGAAGCATCTTGTCAGCCATTATGAAAATTTCATTTTTATTGTCCAATTAATGTATGAAATTGACAGTTAACAGGAGATTTTCAAGAAAATGTTGTTTCTCTAACGTTTTAAGTACGATTTTAAATCAAATTTCTTAGACTATATAATTTTTTCTTTTTTATTATTATTTTTTAAAAAAATTAAATTTGATAAATTTCGACGATATACCTACGTGGGGCATGCATATTTTTCGATCTACCATGGTCATGTGTATCAGTAAAGTCTCGTGCGTTAGCAATATTTGGTCTCAACAAGGGCCCAGCAAGTTCTAATTAATTACCTTCACTACAAAAAATCGTACGCCATTATTGTTTTAGACAATACTCAGTTCTCTATTGTCGTTTATCTCACATGATTCCGAAGGATCAGGGTTGGGAAGTAGAGAATTAGTGCTCCCGGGGTGGAAATAAAATCACTAAAATTGAACCAAAATCTCAGATTTTTTTGTTAACAAAACTAAACGTAAATTAACGTTGCATTTGGTGAATGATGCAGCACTTCGAAAGTTGGTTACCAACGTCGACATGACTCAAATTTGAATGTTTCAAATTAGTGCAAAAAAAGGTCGGCAAATGGTTAATCCGAGGTCAATAACCAACGTCAGGTTGTGTGCGGCGACGTGGGGCCGACGTCCAAATGCTATTTGGGAATGTGTTTATTTATTTTGATTTGAATTTACTGTTGGAAACAGTTGAAATTATTTTATTTTATCTTATTTTTGGTGCTGTGCTGCGTGTGTTAATTTTTGGATGGGTCATTATGGATTGTGGCAAAGGTAATCCTATTCCGAGTAGGATTATCTTTGATTGTGAGCAAGTTTCCTAATCAAAAGTTTTGTTTTTTTTTATAAAAATTAGCGATGTGGCTATAGGCTTGTTTGGCTGGCATTTCAAAACCAAAAAAATATTTTACCTACTAGCTATCACAACAAAATTGGAGATTAATAATTGAAGAGTATAACTTCTAAAGGGTCTATGTGCCATCTTGATAATATTTGAGATAATGTTTGAAAATTATTCCAAGTCTCAACCCCAATACAATCAAAAAGGTCTATGTGGCAACAATACATGTATTTGGTTCTGATATTGATTTAAAGATGGTGCAGGATGTAAGTAAAAACTTTATATAAGCATGTTTGTAGTAGGTATTTTCTCGTTTGTCTCCAAATCAAAATTTTGGCAAGACTTTAGAAATTATACTCTTCAATTATTGATCGACTTTGTGTTTTTGTCTTTTATAAACGGCGATAAGATTGAGATATTATGTTGTCTAACCTCCGACTGTTTTCGTAACCTTAATTGTATACCAATGCCAACGTTGTACCCAACAACAATTTAGCTAACAACTTTGGTTATATTTTTTTAGCTAGATCTAAAGTATACGAATGAAGACGTCTAACCGTGGTCGATATTGGTTGGATGCATTGCTAGAAAAATGCCCGTCAAAACTTAACGGTTGCACAACGTCGCGAGCTTCACCATAAAAAACTATACACTCGAAAACGTCTGATCTACGTTGACTACAGCTATCATGTCTGAGGTTAATTTAACGTCGGCTGGAGGTCGGGTATTTACTTCGACTGAAAAGTTAATAAGTGAGCTAAATTTCTACCAATTACAACGTCGGAACTAGTGAAAATCTAGTCGTAAGCCGAAAAAATGCTACTTGAGATTTTTCAATTCAATTTCAATTTCAATTTCAATTTATTTCGACAGCAAATTAACAATAATTAATTACAAACCAGATTACAATATTACAAATTACCTACATGCCTACAATAGCAGGAGAGGAAAAAGGCCATAATTATTATCTATTACATCATTATCGTTTTTAATATAATATAATTTGTGTAGAAAAAGAAAAGGACACCTAGATACATATGTATCTGTATGTGTCTTATGGGTTTTAAAATTATAGGACACAAGTTATTATTAATTATCTCAACAATGTTCCCAGAAAAGGAAGAATTGCCCATACTTAGGTACTTATATTAAAAGCTTAAAGACCTAAACCAATTTACAGTACTAATACTAAATCCAATTATAATTATAATTATAGCACTGTCATTGTCAGTGAGAGCATGAGACACCACTATTACAAAAACTTCTTTGGATACAAATCTAATCGGTAAAAATTGTATTAAAATAATTATAAAAGTTTTCATAGATAAACAATTTGCAGGGTTTACTGAACCTCTTCTTGCCTAGGTTTTTTATAGTGGTAGGTAGTATATTATAAAATTTAGGACCAAGAAAGTTACAGCAGTTTTTAAAGAACTCGCTGTTAGGTTTGGGAACTTTGATGGTCTCATTTAAGATTGCTCTTGTTTGATAGTGATGATCTATTGTAATTCCATTAATTTCATCATGGTTTCTTATATAACAGCAAACTGTATGTATATATAAACATCTAATGTTTACAATTTTAGGGTTATATAGCAATAAGGATGGGTACCGAGGTTTTTTCTTGAATATTACTTTTAAGATTTTTTTTTGTATGATATTTAAAGGACTTAATGTAGTTTCATATAGCCCACCCCAAACCAGTATACCATATCTTATTACAGATTCTACCAAACTGAGATATAATGTCACAAGCAAACTCTGATTAAGAAATTGCCTAATTAAATAGAACTTATATATTAGGAATCTAAGTTTTTTGGTTATGTATAGGATATGTGATTCCCATTTTAAATTTTGATCTATGACAATTCCTAAGTATTTTGCGCTATCGGTTCTCTTTATTATTGAGTTAAGACAAATTAATTCATTGAAAATAGGACGATCCGCCTGTGTTTTTGAGAAGGCTATAAAATTTGTTTTATCAATGTTCAATGATAGCTTAAAATGGTTAAGCCAATTTTTGACTTGTTCAATTTCAGCCTGTGCAGATGACTTGACCGCATCCCAGCTCTGCCCATTGAACACGATTACTGTATCATCTGCGTATGAGATTATTTTCCCCTGTATATTGATCTCACATAGATTTTTGAGATATAAATTGAACAAAATTGGCCCAAGTACAGTGCCTTGTGGTACACCAATAAGAACAGGTTCTGGATCACTTATGCAGTCTCTAATTTTAACTGATTGCTCTCTGTTCATTAGATAATTTTTAAAGACCTCTAGCACAATACCCCGGATCCCAAGATGCTCAAGCACATTAAGAAGCTTTTGATGGGGAACCGTATCAAAGGCCTTTGCCAAGTCGAGAAACACTGCAATACACTTCTTGTTATTATTTAAATTATCAGCTATATGGGATATTAGTTCGTGCATAGCATCACTGGAATTTAAACCTTCCATAAAACCAAACTGATTTTTTGGCATTAAGTTATTCGCCTTTAGGTAATCAATCAATCTATCCTTAAGACACTTCTCAAATATTTTAGCTACATTGCTTATAAGGCTTATGGGTCGGTAATTATTAATTATGTTCCGATTTCCCGATTTGTGAATTGGTGTTATAATCGATTTTTTAAATTCTGATGGCACCTCGCCTGTTGAGAAAATTAAGTTAATAATATGTCTAATTGGTTTAACTAAGTATATATGCAATAGTTTGAGATATTTGACAGTTATGTTATCAAAACCAGGGGCACTGTTATTTTTTAGGCTAGATATATGTTTGATAATGTCATTTTCTGATACAGGGTTCAAAAACATTGATTTATTTATTGTAGGAATAGAATAATTTATATTATTATCCGGTATGCTATTATGCATATTAATTCCGATAGAGGAAAAATATTTATTAGAATGATTTGCCATGCTCATGTCACTTTCAAATTCATTACCTTCATTGTTAGTTATTTGTATCTTACTATTACATTTACTTGTGGAATTGTTGGTTGCCTCAGCTATAATTTCATAAGTTTTCTTTAGGTTGTTTTTATTCTCATTAATTTTGTCTCTATAATAATCATTTTTTGTTTTTGTTATTAGTCTCTTTAAATTATTTCTGTATGTTTTATAATAATTTTCAAATTCTAGGCAGTGATTTTTTGACAGTTGTTTCTTAAGTTTATCTCTTGTTTTAATTGAGTTCACTAGTCCGTTCGTAATCCATGGCTTTATTTTTTTTGTCAATCTTTTTGTGTTTTCCCTATGTATCATTTTGCAATCATCAATAATTTTGAGGTATCGTTCATAGAACAATTGTGTGGCTATTTTTGCATTAGGTTCCTCACACACATTAGTCCAGGTTTCAGCATTAAATTTTTCTATCAATCTATCTGTGTTAATTCTAACAACATCTTTGTTACCAGTAGTATTTTTAATTAGTTTTTTGTTTTCAGAAGTGATGTTTATCATAATAGGATTATGATCAGTTAAGTCATAATTAATTACATACGAGTTTAGGTCCAAATTCAGATTTGGCGCCCTCAAGTTATTTCTTATAAATATATGGTCCAGACAAGTTTGACTTATAGGTCTTGTAATAGTACTTACATATGACATAAAACCGCAAGAAAATAATGTTTCCAAGTATTCATTAGTAAAATTATTTGAAAAATTCAATATATCAATGTTTATATCACCTATCAAAATTTCTATATTTTTGTCAAGATTGACACTAATGTAGTTACTCAAATCGTTGATAAATTGCTGTATAGATGTTTGAGGAGACCTATAGATGCCATTGATTCCGAAACTTATATTATTTACAGTAAATATTGCTCTAATGATTGATATGCCTGACGTCTCAAGCCGTATTAAGTTAACTTCAGCATTAAGAGTAGACTTAATTAGTATCAATACTCCATCATTTTTATTGAGAGTACCATTATTGTAAAAAGTTGTATATCCATTTATATTAAACTCTGCTACTGATTCCAACTGAAAACATTCTGACAATACAATTACATCAGAAAAATTCACATTAAAACTTTCCAGAAACATCAACAACTCATCAAAATTCTTTTTGATGCTTCTTATATTAAAATGTAATACATTTACAATTTTTTCTTCAATATTTATTTGGCTAGCTATACTATGAGCATCCACAGTCATATTAGGAACATTATCCGGAAATGTGTTAAATAAATCGACTTCTTGAATGTTTGCCATTGTGAGTTTTGAAAAAGGTATAAATATAAATAAATCCCAGAAATAAACAAATAAGATATTATTGTTGTTTCTGGTTTATCAATGGGTTGAAAGGATAATCTGTCATATTAATATGCTTTAAAAGTAAATATTTATATGTTTCACACAAACTTTTATCGTTTGCTGCATGGTTAATAGAACTCTTATTATTTTCATTTTTATTCTTATACTTTATGCAGTTAATACATTTAAGATTCTCTTTCTTATTACACATTTTTGTGTTGTGACTTTCAGAGCATATCAAGCAGCAGTCCTCGTTCCTACATTTTTTCTCACTGTGCCCATACATACCACATTTGTAACAGTTATTGATATTAAAATCGTCATAGACCTTACATCTAGTGCAACCTATATAACATTTTTTGTTTCTCATTATTAGTGAATAAGCAATTGGATTAACTTCCATAATAAGGGACCAGCTATTGGATTTTTGACTAAAATACTTGTAAGTAATTTTTATTGGGTTTTCAGAGGAACTATTATTAGGTATTGCATTTCGAGAACATATATCAGACTCTATTTCTTCATTGCTCAGACTCTCAATATAATTGTCCACTCCTATTACCTTTATTCTTGGGCTCTTTTTTGTTTCCACCTGTACTCTTGCTTCTTTGGATAGATCCTCCTTCAGAGCCAGCTCTACAGTTTCTACGTCAGCTTTGTTTTTACACTTGACAATAACTTTGTCTTTGACTAGGTTCAAGTTCACAGGTAGGTTGGTTTTTTCACAGATGGTTTTCTTTGCTTCTGTAAGTAATTTATTTATGTTTCTGTCATTCGCTTGTATGATAATATTTGGGACATTTTCTTTTATAGTTGGGTTTCCATTTGTGGTTATATAAGCATAGTTATAGTCTGGAGTTTGTATTTGGTTTGGTTGCTCACATAACTTATTTTTCAATAAAACATTATTTTCCTTTAATTCTGCATTCAGCTCCTTAAGGATTGCATTCTTTTCATTCAATTCATTGTTGAGTAGTTTAAGTGTTTCCACATTCATTACAGAATTTTGGGTAATGGTCATGGTTGTTGTTTGTTTTCCCTCAGATTGATTCGGGTTTGCAGTAACCAGTTTTTGTTTATTCAATAGGTTGTATTCCTTTTTCAGATTTGAGTATTTTTTATCAATTGTGTGTAGATTTTCTTTAAGTTTCGCAATTATAACTCGCAGATTATTGTCCAAATTATTTGAGGTTAGGTCGACGTCCTTGTGTTCATCACATATTACGAGGGTTGGGGATAGATATTTGGGATTCTTTTTTCTGTTAAAATCACTTTTATGAAATGCACCATCACATATTAAGCAAATCACAATACTATTCACTTGTTTACTATGGCATTTTAAATAAATATCGGGAGGGATTGCATGTGAATGCAACCCATCCGCCATCTTGGTCGGTTGTGGATTCCATACCATACCATAGCATTTCTAGAAAATGAGCAACCACTGCAATAGATCGTATATTCGCCAAATGCTAATCCGAAGAATATTAAAAATAAAAAGTATCGCATAAATAGATTGTGACCAGTAGTTTTATTATTATATCCTAATTTTTTTTGTAACTGGCAGATAATCAAACTCAAGAATGTTTAACAGTGGTTTGTTTAAATGAAATTGTAACAAATTGGTTTGACCATGTCGTTTTATTTAGTGTCTCAGATAATTTCATTAAAGTTATTTCCAGTTTATGGATACTTTGTATGATAATTGTCGTGTTTATGTGATAATAGGCCGTGTTATGTTGAGTTGTTACGTACGTAGTTCCTAAAGAAATTGGAAAGATAGGTTTTTCTACCATCATCAATGTATACGCTTGGGTGACTCCGACGAGAGTAGGGAATACTAAGGGATTCATCTCGGGGTAGCTGAAATAAATTATTATCGTTCGGGTTCACGATTTTTATTGCGTGATTCTAAAGATTTTGTTTGTTTTGCTAATAATTTTTCTCGAATTTCTTTATTCAAATTTGCAAGGGATTCTGCCAAACTTGTTATATAGTCAGTTGTTAGTTTATTTTCCGTTTGTTCAATCGGTATGGCATAATTCAAATCTCCTTTAATCACTTGAAAAGGGGTGTTATTCATTGTACTATAAGTACTCTTGTTATAATTCAATATAGCGATTGTCATTGGATCAATAATACTCTTTTTCGGGTTTTGGAGTTTTAAACTCGTTATACTTTCACGTAGTGTCGAATGGAATCTTTCGATTGGACTATTCGAGTTCGGATTTCTTGGAGTTTTATAATGAAACTCAATTTTGTATAATGTACAAAGATCTGTCATTATAGCATTTTTGAACTCTGCTCCATTATCTGATGTGATTTTTTGAGGTATTCCATGATCACTAAAATATTTCAATAACTGTGATGATATCTCTACAGCTGTTTTCGTATTTACAGGAGAGGCTTGACCAAGTTTTGAAAAGCTATCAATAATGGTCAGAATTGTCTGGGTATTGATTATATACGTGTCAATATAAATATGTTCGAAGGGTTTCGTACCAATAAGTGTTGGTTGGAATATGATTTTGTATGGTTGTCATTCATACTTGGTTTTATTGCATATTTCGCATGCCTTGACATAATTCTGTACGTCTTTCTCGATATTGGGCAAATAGAATCTTCTCTTCAAGGCTGCAACATTTTCAGTGATTCCTCTATGAGAGGTTTTAGTCTCATGATATTACTGAATTTTCTCTTGTTGAAGATCAACTTCTGTGATGTCTTCTAATGAAGAGTTCGAGATGTAAAAAGTAAATGAATTTGAATTAAACGATTTTTTTAATGCTCGTATCACAATAGGTTCTAAAGATTTATTTAGGAGATGAAGGCAATAAATACCAGGTGGCATGTATTCCTTTACTAAATTAGTAATTTGTGATGTTGTTGGAATATTTAGTAAGAAGAATATTATTCTCTTTTTATTACCAAATAGTTTGATTATCTCTTTCCCAATTGTGTTATTATTGGAATATCGAAATACAATTTGATTTCCAAATATATTTACATGTTTCTTAGTATATGGAGCTCCTAATATTAGATTTTCCATAGACGTACGTATTGTTTGTTCATTTTCAGACAAGGCTGAAATTGTTCGTTCGTCATCCGAACGTGTTTTTTGTCTTTTAGTTTTTTGAGTTTTCGAAGATTCTCCTATTTCTATGGGAATTTCTTTCTTCTCTTTTCTTGGAGGTATTATTAGTTGGGATAAAATCTTTATTTTGGTTCTTTCTTTCTTAGGTTCCTCTTCAGGTTCTCTTTCTGATGCTGTCTTTGTTGATTGGGCTGATTCAGACATTGTTATCTCTTTTTCTTTAGCTTTCTCGCTTTGTTTAGGAAGAAATACTTTAGCGTCTGTAAAGTATTTTGCTATGATTTCATAACTACATAATGGTGTATCTTTCAGCATTACTCCTATTTTTTTGTGAAATTTTTTATCTGAAGATGTTAATCTGGCATCTGGATCTGATTTTTGAATGGCATGAAGTTGTATTGCAGGAATTCTGGATAGTGCGTCTACATTCATGTTTCATGTTCCTTTTTTGTATTTGATCTCATAATCAAATTCGGATAGTTTTAGTCAGCTGGGTTTGAGGTTCTGGATGCGTATGCAATGGGAAGATCAGCTCCGACAGGACCTTGAGATAAAGCAGTTCCAATTGCATAGTTTGAGGCATCCGTTGTCAATAAGAAAGGTTTCTTAAAGCCAGGATGTTGTAATATAGGGTCATTTATTAATACATTTTTACAAGTTACAAAGCTATTGAGAAATTCTGCATTATGTATTATTTTTTTGGCTTTTTTCAAACAAGATGTCATTGGTTTGGTCAATTTGGCAAAATCTCTATGAATTTTCGGTAATAACCTACTAATCCTAAAAATGATTTTATTTCCTTCACCGTCTTTGGTATTGGGAATTTTTTAATTGCCATTATCTTTTTTGGAATCCGTTTTATTCCATTTGGTGAAATTATATGTCCTAAGAATTCGACTGTCTTGTGTAGGAATTCTGATTTGTCTAATTGTATTTTTAAATTAAACTTCTCGCGTCTCTCAAATACTTTCTTTAAATTTTTCACATGTTCATGAAGTGAACTGGAAAAAATTATTATATCATCCATGTATACTAGACATATTCTATTCTGTAATCCTAGTAATACATTATCCATCACTCTTTGGAATGTTGCTGGTGCGTTCTTTAATCCAAAGGGCATTCTGTAAATTCGTAATGACAATTTTCAACATAAAGTGATGTCTTGGGTATCGAAATTTCATGCATCTCGACTTGATGAAAGCCAGAGGCTAAATCCAGTGTCGTAAAATAATTACTACGACGAAGTCGGTCTAATATATCAGTGATATTAGGTAATGGATATCTATCATCAATAGTTTTTTCGTTTATATTTCGAAAATCAACGACCATCTTCATTTTTGTATGCCTGCAGCATCTTCTTTCTTAGGTACTATTCACACAGTGGATGACCAGGGACTACAGGATGGTCTGGTTATTTGAGAATTTACTTCTTATTTATGCACATGAGTATATCTATAAGTTTTCGTGTGCACTGGGATTTCGTCTGTTGTTTTAATTTTATGTTTAACTTGCTTGGTAAATGTCAATTTTTCGTTTGGCTTGTGGAAAATTTTAGGAAAAGATTTAATTACGTGTTTTAAAGTATCAAATTCCTCTGAGTTTAAATGATTAATACATTTGCTTATTCATCATGTTCTAATGAAGTCATTTGTTCTATATTAAATATCTCAAACTGTTCATCAGCATAAGGTATTTCCGCTAGGTTATTTATGTTATACGGGACAATAATAGGCTTATCCATTAAGTTGTGTACTTCTAAACGCTCTATTTCATTATTGACTGCTGCTTTTGTCGGAGGAATATAATATGTTTCATTTTTTATCGGAGGTGTAAGAATCTCAACACCGTCACCAATGCTTGTATTGAAATAACAAACTTGAATTGAATTGCTTGGAATCTCAAAATTTTGATTTTCAAAATCTGTTCTGTATTGAAAAGGAATTTTTGTTTTATTATTAGAAAGAAGCATATTAGAAACATCTATATTTAAATTATTTTCTTGTAATGCTTTGATTCCAATAATTTCATCAAAATAGTCATGGAAATTATACATTATCATTTCAATGTTGTTTTGAATATTATATTCTTGTAAAATTGGGACATTGATTTTTCCTTGGGTTTTTCTTGTACCCATACAAGTAGTTAACTTGTTTCGTGAATTATTTATAGAATTTGAAAAATATTTTTCTGCGATTGAGGGTCTTATTAAAGATGCATGACTTCCTGTGTCAATTAATAATTTACACGGTGGATAGTCTATTTGAATAAAAGGCAGTTGGTTGATTTGATAAGCATTTAGAGTTAATAATGACTCATTGCGTCTTCAGTTTCGACTTGATTTTATACAAAATTTGTCTCTTCATAATAATTTTGAGTTTCGGAACATTCTTCAGTTTCGTAATTTTCACCAGAGTCAGGTAATTCGATTTCAAAGATATTATTAATTTCTTCGATTGTATATTTGGAAGGGCCTGCATTTGGGTCAGGTTTGAAATAGTTATTGGGTCCATATTGATGTTGATTTTGTGCTCGTGGTTGCACTGAAACTCCGGATATAGGTGTTGGTGTTGAAAATTGTTGATTCGTATTTTTTCGGAAGACATTATTGTAGTTTTTGCCAAAATTTCCTGAACTAGTAGGAAATTTTGTTGGTACATAGTCCTTTTTAGGTGTTATATTAATGGTTGGGATGGAAACTGTAGTTTCTGTGGTACATAGGATGTTTTTTGTGTATATTGAGGTTTCTGTTGAGTATAGGTTTGTTGTGAACAAAATTGCGTATTTTTATTTTTGAAATTTGAAAAATTTTGATTTTGATTTTGATTAGTAAAATGATTAAGTCCTCTACTAAATTTCATGTGGTTTTTAGCTAGTTGATAATTTAAAACAAATTTGTTAGCTGTATCCAACGTTTGTGGATTTTGAAC